AGCAAAGAATTTTCAGTAACCACCAGAGGCTCACCCTGATGACAGCGACCGGCATCACACCTTGGCCTGGCGCCCCAGCTCACCTCTTCCACCATCCTGCCATGCCCGATGCCCACCATGTTCTGCTGGTCAGCAACATAGCAACCAGTTGTTCAGTTGTTCCGCTGTTTGGTCTATTTGCATATTAGGGTTTTATATATGTAGATTCCTTAAATAATCCAGCTTGAGTATATTTCCTGTTGGGCCACTAACCAAAACAATGGGAACAATCACAGCAGTTAGTCAATAGGTGTGTTATAAGGGCTAAATAAAGTAAGACCTGACTAGTGCTTAAATAATGGCCAAGACAAACCTTTTATTTTATTTTGATGTAGTCCCATTTGCTTATTTTCTCGTTTGTTTCCCTTGCCCTAGGAGAAATATGGGCAAACTTACTGCTGTAAGAGATGCTTGAGATTTTGCTGCCTATGGTTTCTTCTAAGATACTTATGGTTTTATGACTTATATTTAAATCTTTTACCCATTTTGACTTTATTCTTGTGTATGGTGTAAATTGGTGGTCTGGTTTCATTTTTTTTTTGACTTGTACCTGTCCAATTTTCTCAACGTTATTTATTTTCAAGTTTTATTTTATTTAAAAAATATATTTTGTTGATTTTTTACAGAGAGGAAGGGAGAGAGATAGAGAGCTAGAAACATCAATGAGAGAGAAACATCGACCAGCTGCCTCTTGCACACCCCCTACCGGGGATGTGCCCACAACCAAGGTACATGCCCTTGACCAGAATCGAACCCCGGACCTTTCAGTCCACAGACCGACGCTCTACCACTGAGTCAAACTGGTTTCGGCTGATTGATTTTTTTTTATAGATAGGAAGAGAAAAGGAGAGGAAGAGGGATAGAGAGTTAGAAACATCAATGAGAGAAAAATATTGATCAGCTGCTTCCTGCACACTTTCTACTAGGGATATGGCTGCAACTAAGGTACATGCCTGCCCTGGACTGGAATCGAGCCTAGGATCCTTCACTAGACAGGCTGACACTCTATCCACTGAGCCAAACCGGTTAGGGCTCAAGTTTTATTTTTTAAAATGTGTTTTTATTTTAGAGAGAGAGGGAGAGAGTCAGAGAGACAGAAACATCCATGCTAGAGAAACATCATCCATTTACTGCCTACTGCATGCCCCGACCTGGAATCGAACTAGTGACCTCTTGGTTCATGGGTTGATGCTTAACCACTGACCCACACCAGCCGGACCCATCACTATTTATTGAAGAGGCTGTCTTGCATCCTTTGTCAAATATTAATTGTGTCTAATAGCTTGGGCCGATTTCTGAGTTCTCTGTTCCATTGATCTATATGCCTGTTCTTGTGCCAGTACCTGGCTGTTTTGATTACAGTGCCTTTGTAGTATAATTTTGTATCTGGTGTTGTGACCCCTCTTAGTTTGTTATTCCTTCTCAAGATTGCTGTGGCTATTCAGGATCTTTTTTGATTCCATATAAATTTTTGGAGTATTTGTTCTAGATATGTGAAATATGCTGTTAGTATTTTAAAAGGAATTGCTATATCAAAATAAAAAGCTTCTGCACTAGTGAAAGAAACCATTAACAAAATGAAAAGGATTCCATAGTATGGGAATACACATTTGCCAATGATACAGCTGATAAGGGGTTAATTTCAAAAATATATAAAAAACTTATACTACTTAACAAAAGGAAGACAAACAACCCAATTAAAAATGGGCAAAGGACCTAAATAGACACTTCTCCGAAGAGGCATACAGATGGCCAATAGACACATGAAAAAAGCTCCAAGTTACTAATCATCAGAGAAATGCAAATTAAAACTACAATGAGGTATCACTTCACACCTGCCAGAATGGCTACCATCAACAAATGACAAATGCTGTGGGGAATGTGGAGAAAAGGGAACCTTAGTACACTGCTAGTGGGAATGCCATCCAGTGCAGCCACTATGGAAAACAGTATGGAGTTAAAAAAAAATAAAAATGGAACTGCCTTTTGACCAGCGATTTCATTTCGGGCAATATATCCTAAGAATCCCAAAACACCAATCAGAAAGAGTGTATCGACCCCTATGTTCATGGCAGTGTTATTTACAATAGTTAAGATCTGGAAACAGCCCAAGTGCCCATCAGCAGATGAGTAAACAAAAAAACTGTGGTACATTTACACAATGGAATACTATGCAGCTGTAAAACAGAAGGATCTCTTACCTTTTGAGATAGCATGGATAGACTTGGAGAGTATCATGCTAAGCAAAATAAGCCAGTCAGAGAAAGATAAGAATCACATGATCTCACTTATATGCAATCTAATGAACAAAATAAACTGATGAACAAAATAGATCCAGAGACATAGAAGCATGGGACAGATGAAGGAATCTCAGAGGGAAGGGGAAAGGGGAAGAGATTAACCAAAGACTTTATATGCATGTATGCATAACCCATGGACACAGTCAGTAGTACTGTGAAGGCCTGGGGGAGGAGGGGTCAGAAATGGGGTGGAGGGGGACCAATGGGGGGAAAAAGGGGACATTACTTTCAACAATAAAGATAAATTTAAAAAAATGGTTGAAATGAGATCAAGATAAGAGCAATTGGAAAAAAAATGATAGTGATGGAAAACAAAGATCATTTAATACTAGGATAATTGCTATTTCTTTAACAGATTCCCCCCCAGTGGAATATTTATATTAAAATATCTTTATATAAAAGATTCAGAGATATAAAAGAAAAAAACTTCTGATAAAAAGAATAGCTGAATCATCATATACTAGTAAAAGTTCACACTATATGAAAAACTGATATAAGAATGATTAACAATTAGACATGAGAAAAAGATAATTCTTTACTCAACCAGCCCCCTTAGAAAAAGTCCCCTAAAAGGAAGACAAATAAAATATTGGTCTTTTACTAGTATTTAATTTCAGAAAACATCTAGGTCTACAAAGTTCTAAGGGAAAGAAATGTAACACAAGCTTTTCTTAGTGTCAGGGAATTCCTTGATTAAAAATGCCTAAAATATTGTATTTTGCACTAGTCATTCCTAAGGTAGTCTTTTACCTGTGGTCACCAATAAACATTTTTCATAAAGGTAAAAGTTTATCTTTTAAACAAATTATAAACATGATTTTAGAAAACACCTGGTAAAGTAACAAAATGGTTGTATTAGATCTAGTAATAATTAATGTCGTTTTCTAATACTTTTTTAAGTCGAATTTATTTAAACAATACAACAAAATTTAATCAACAATATAGTTGCCGTTGTTTTCTACTACTTGTGCCCAACGCTCAGGAAGCATTTTAATCCCTCTGTTGTAAAATTCTTGTGATTTTGATGCAAAAAATTTGGTCAATGCATTTTTGAGGCATTCTTCATTATTAAATTTTTTTTCCAAGAAGAAAGTTTTGCAAAGAACGAAACAAATGGTAATCGGAAGGGGCAATATCAGGAGAATATGCAGGTTGAGGGAGAACTTCCCATTCCAACTGGCGCAGTTTTTCAGCAGTGATTCTTGCAGTATGTGGTCGTGCGTTATCGTGGTGAAGAATTACGCCCTTCCGATTAATCAGCGCGGGTTCTTTTTCTCTTAAAGCTTGGGCTAACCTTTCCAATTGGGCACTATACACTGCACTTGTAATGGTTTGGTTAGATGGTAAAAGTTCATAATGAAGAATTCCTTTAAAATTCCACCAAACACACATCACTTTTTTCGCATGCAAGTCAGGTTTTGGCGTTGGCTGCAGAGCCTCATTTTTGTCCAACCATTGAGGTCGCCTTTTCAAATTAACATACAGCACCCATTCTTCATCTCCGGTAACAATTTGCTCTAAAAACGGCAAACGGTTTTGACGAGAGAGGAGCGAACTGCAAATTGTGACTCTTTGATTACGGTTGTTGTCGGTCAACTCATGAGGAACCCATTTTCCAAACTTTTGGACTTTGCCAAGTGCACGCAATTGATTGGAAATTGTTTTTTGTGAACAATTTAAAGTTGTCGCAAGCTCTTGTTGGGTAATTTGAGGATTTTGCACCAAAAGAGCTTGAAGAGCTTCTTGATCAAAATTGGACACATGGCCTCGACCACTCTTGTCATCTAACAAAAAATTTCCCTCGCGAAATTTCTCAAACCAACGCTGGCATTTTCTGGCGCTAACTTCATCTTGACCAAGAGCACTACAGATGTTTTTTGCAGCCTCACTTGCTTTTCTTCCTAATTGGAACTCATAAAGCATGCAGTGCCGAATATGCTCTTCATCCGCCATCTTCTTAGCCCTAGTTTTGCAACAAAAACCAAACCAAACACAAACTTTTTCAAGTAAAACTTGTTAATTGCACTTCACACGTTCTGTAGATACCACGTGTTTGAAGGTTATGTCAATACAAGTCAACGCCAAGCAAGATTCTAAACGAATGTTTAAAAACGACATTAATTATTACTAGACCCGATAGTTTGTGAACTAAGGCATGTATTTAAAGGCATGCACCCCCTTTCTTCAACCTTCGGAGATTTGTACCATTTGTTAGGGATATCATGTCTGGTTGTGATAAAAAAGACCCAAAAATTTGAATGTGTATTTTCCTTTACTTGTTTATGCCCACGTATCTCTATTAAATAGTATGTAAATATGGACCCAAATAAATAGGAATATACACACAAAATTATAGCCAGCTCTTTGGGCTGAATTGTGGCCCTAACCCTTGATGCTCAATTTGTATGTTAAAGTCCTAAACCTCAGTACCTGAGAATATGACTGTTTTTGGAGCTAGGGTATTTAAAGTGATAATTAAATTTAAATTAAGTTATTAGGGTACACCCTAACCCAAAATGACTGGTGTCTTTATAAGAAGAGAAAATTTGGACCAAACTTGTATATAATAGATGTGAAGATATAGGCAACGAAGCAAATAGGTGGTCTGGAAACCAGTCACCACCTGTTCAAACAAATAGCTTATTCCTTCAGTATTCTTTTGAGATCTATACTGTATATACATGACCATTGGGTCTGCTCAACACAGCATTTGTGATTGGAAGCTCAGTTCCCTTGGTTATTTGAGGGATAATGATCAGTTATTTAATCTTTACCAAGGCTCAGTAGAACTGTAGGTCATATTTCTCCAAAGAGATGTTATCTGCAGAAGAAAATATGGCTTCTCCAATACTTTAGACGGCTGCGCTGTGATTCTCTTATTGCCACTTTCTAGTGACTGAAAAGCATCTAATCTGCTGCACGAGCTGAATACTGGATCTGACAGGCCTTAAGGCCTAAGTGGCAGAATAGAACCTACATGGTTCAGAGCTTTTTGTTGCTTTTAGGTCCATTAAAACTGGCAGCACATTTAAATATGTATTTATTGCCCTCTAAACCAAGCTATATCCCCCCATAAAGTGTCTCCTTTTTCTTTCTTTCTTTCTTTCTTTTTTTTTTTTTTTTTGCGGGTGGGTGGAAGTGGTCGCCTTTTCTTGATGGAAAGTGCAGTGTTCAGCAACTTGTTCTTTATTTAAGAGGACCTGTCCTAACATAACACAGACCACTCAATCCCTAGCAACTTCACTGAAGTAGGAATTTAATGGGCCTTCCTTATCTCCCATCCATTGCTGCATGTGTGTGTCACTCTGACAAATCGGATACTTAGATTTTTCACTCACCAGTTCCACTCGGCATAATATCATCCATGTTCTGGGCTAGCATGGTATTCTGTGGTATTTCAAGATAATTATGGTATCTCTGAACCAGGTAAGAAATTAACATTTTCTGTAAAGAGCCAGACAGTGGATATTTTAGAATTCTGTGTCAACTATTCAATTTTGTTGTTGTAGTTTAAAAACAGCCATAGATAACACATAGATAGCACATGAATGAGACTATGCTTCAATAACACTTATTTATAAACATTGAAATTTGAATTTCATATAATTTTCACATGTCATGAAGTATTATTTATCTTTAGGTTATGTCAATCATTTTTATTTTTTTATTTTTTTTAATGAAAAGCTTGTCTTTTATTTATTTTTTTATTATTTTTTATTTATTTTTTATTAAGTTATTATTTTTGTACATATACCAATGTCTCCCCCCCCTCCCATACATACCCTCCCTCCCCAGAGTTTTGTGTCCATTGGTTATACTTATATGCATGTATACAAGTCCTTCAGTTGATCTCTTATCTCCCCCAGATCTCCCTCCCCTCCCTGCTGTAATTTGACAGTCTGCTTGTTGCTTTACTGTCTCTATATCTGTCTTTTGGGTCTTCAGTTTATGATGTTCTTTATCATCCATAAATAAGTGAGGTCATGTGGTGTCTCTCTTTCATTGACTGGCTTGTTTCACTCAGCATGATGTTCTCCAATTCCATCCAGGTTGCTGCAAACGATGAGAATTTTTTCTTTTTTTATGGCTGCATAATATTCCATTGTGTAAATGTACCATAGTTTTTGGATCCAATCATCTGCTGTTTCCAAACAGCACCTAGGCTGTTTCCAAATCCTAGCTATTGTAAATTGTGCTGCTATGAACATAGGGGTGCATATATTCCTTCTGGTTGATGTTTCTAGCTTCTTGGGATATATTCCTAGGAGTGGGATTACTGGGTCAAATGGGAGTTCCATTTTCAGTTTTTTGAGGAAGCTCCATACTGTTATCCACAGTGGTTGCACCAGTCTACATTCCCACCACCAGTGCACGAGGGTTCCTTTTTCTCCGCAACCTCGCCAAACCTTGTCGTTTGTTGATTTGTTGATATTGGCTATTCTGACAGGTGTGAGATGGTACCGCATTGTTGTTTTGATTTGCATTTCTTGGATAATTAGTGACTTTGAGCATGTTTTCATGTGCCTCTTGGCCTTCCTTCTGTCTTCTTTTGAGGAGATTCTATTTAGATCCATTGTCCATTTTTTAATTGGGTCATTTATCTTCCTTTTATTAAGTTGTGTAAGCTGTCTGTAGATGTTGGAGATTAAACCTTTATCAGTGATAAAATTTGCAAATATGTTCTCCCATACAGAGGGCTTTCTTATTGTTTTGTTGATGGTTTCCTTTGCTGTAAAAAAGCCTTTTATTTTGATGTAGTCCCATTTGTTTATTTTCTCTTTAGCTTCCATTGCCCTAGGGGAAGTATCATTGAAGAAGTTCTTTTGGCACATGTCTGAGATTTTGCTGCCTGTGGATGCCTCTAGTATTTTTATGGTTTCCCGTCTTATGTTTAAATTCTGTATCCATTTTGAGTTTATTTTTGTGTATAGTGTAAGTTGGTGATCCAGTTTCATTCTTTTGCATGTATCTGTCCAATTTTCCCAACACCATTTATTGAAGAGACTGTCTTGACTCCATTGTATGTTCGTGCCTTCTTTGTCAAATATTAACTGAGCATAGTGATTTGGGTTGATATCTGGGTTCTCAATTCTATTCCATTGATCTATATATTTGTTCTTGTGCGAGTACCAGGCTGTTTTGAGAACAGTGGCTTTGTAATAACAGTTTGAAATCTGGTATTGAGATCCCTCCTACTTTACTCTTCTTTCTCAGGATTGCTTTGGCTATTCGGGGTCTTTTGTTGTTCCAAATGAACTTTTGAAGAGTTTTTTCTAGGTCAGTGAAATATGCCGTTGGTATTTTAATTGGGAGTGCATTGAACCTATAGATTGCTTTGGGAAGTATGGACATTTTGATGATGTTGATTCTACCAATCCATGAACATGGTATGTTCTTCCATCTGTTTACGCCTTCCTCTTATCTCTTTTTTCAGTGTTGTGTAGTTTTCCGTGTATAGGTCTTTTACTTCCTTAGTTAAGTTTATTTCAAGGTATCTTACTTTTTTTGGTGCGATGGTAAATGGGATTGCCTTTTTAGTCTCTGTTTCTGTAAGTTCACTATTGGTGTATAGAAATGCCATAGATTTCTTAGCGTTAATTTTGTATCCTGCTACATTGCCAAATTCATTTATTAAGTCAATTAGTTTTTTAATGGAGTCTTTTGGTTTTTTTATGTACAATATCAGGTCATCTGCAAATAAGGATAATTTTACTTCTTCTTTTCCAATTTGGATGCCTTTTATTTCCTCTTCTTGTCTAATTGCAATGGCTAGTACTTCCAGTACTATGTCAAACAGGAGTGGTGAGAGTGGGCAACCCTGTCTTGTTCCTGTTCTTAGAAGGAATGGTTTTAGTTTTTGCCCATTGAGTATGATGTTGGCTGTGGGTTTATCATATATAGCTTTTATTATGTTGAGGTATGATCCTTGTACTCCCACCTTGTTGAGGGTTTTTATCAGGAAAGGGTGTTGGATTTTATCAAATGCTTTTTCTGCATCAATTGATATGACTATATGATTTTTATCTTTCAATTTGTTTATGTGATGTATCACATTTATTGATTTGTGGATATTGTACCATCCTTGCATTCCTGGAATAAATCCTACTTGGTCGTAATGTATGATCTTTGTGATGCTCTGCTGGAGCCAATTTGCTAGAATTTTGTTGAGGATTTTGGCATCTATGTTCATGAGGGATATTGGCCTGTAATTCTCTTTCATTGAGTTGTCTTTATCTGGTTTTGGTATTAGGGTGATGCTGGCTTCATAGAAGGAGTTTGGAAGTGTTCCTTCCTCCTGGATTTTTTGGAATAGTCTGAGGCGGATAGGTTTTAGTTCTTCCTTGAATATTTGGTAAAACTCTCCTGTGAAGCCATCTGGCCCTGGGCTTTTATGTCAACCATTTTTAGCTTGTGGGCCATATAAAAATAATTGGCAGGCTTGCTCTGGCTGGTATGGCTCAGGGGTTGGAGCATCGGCCAATACACCCACACTGAGGAGTTACACATTCGATTCCTTGCCAGGGGCACTTATCTGGGTTGCAGGCTCCATCCTTACCCCTGGTCAGGGTGTGTGTAGGAAGCAACCAATCAATGTGTCTCTTTTTCTTTCTCCCTCCCCTTAACTCCCTCCCTGCCTCCTCCCTCCATTCTATTCTCTCTAAAAAGCAATGGAAGAAAAATATCCTCAGGTGAGGTTTAACAGCAATAACAACAGAAGTGGCAGCTAGATCTGGCCTGTGGATTAAAATTTTTATTTATTTATTTATTTATTTATTTATTTTTCAGATTAAAATTTTCTGATGCCAACTAACATAAACAATGAAAGTAAAACCATGAACGTATATTGTTGACCCTATCAGATGAAAGCACACTGTTCCTGGTTTACCTTATGCATTGTTATACAGAAATAAGTATATGACATGTTAGTAGCTTTGTACTAGATGGCAGAGGCTATATTGATTCACTCCATTAAAGAAGCCAAATCTTCCCTGACAAGGTGGCTGAGTTGGTTGGAATGTCATCCCATCGACCAGTAGGCTGTGGGTTCAATTCCTAGTCAGGACACATACCTAGGTTGTGGGTTCCATCTCTGGTTGAGGCAGATATGGGATGCAACCAATTGATGTTTCTCTCTCACATTGATGTTTCTCTCCTTCCTCTTGCTAAAAAAAAAAAAAAAAAAGCCAAAACTAAAACAGGTGAAATTGAAAGTCACCACCTAATTAATTTTATGATAATCCATGGTCATTCTCCAAGATATTTCTGTGGTTAGAAATGTCATGTAGGGAGGCATCCACAGGCAGCAAAATCTCAGACATATGCCAAAAGAACTTCTTTACTGATACTGCCCCTAGGGCAATGGAAACTAAAGAGAAAATAAACAAATGGGACTACATCAAAATAAAAAGGCTTTTTTACAGCAAAAAAAACCATCAACAAAGCAACAAGAAAGCCCACTGTATGGGAGAACATATTTGCAAATGTTACCACTGATAAAGGTTTAATCTCCAACATCTACAGACAGCTTATACAACTTAATAAAAGGAAGATAAATGACCCAATTAAAAAATGGGCAATGGACCTAAATAGAATCTTCTCAAAAGGAAGACAGAAGGAAGGCCAAGAGGCACATGAAAACATGCTCAAAGTCACTAATTATCCAAGAGATGCAAATCAAAATGACAATGGTGTTCCATCTCACATTTGTCAAATGGTCAACATCAACAAATCAACAAAAGACAAGTGTTGACGAGGTTGCAGAGAAAAAGGAACCCTGTGCACTGCTGGTGGGAATGTACACTAGTGCAAACACTATGGAGAACAGTATGGAGTTTCCTCAAAAAACTGAAAATGAAACTTCCATTTGACTCAGTAATCCCACTCTAGGAATATGTCCCAAGAAACTAGAAATACCAATCAGAAAGGAAATATGCACCCCTATGTTCATAGCAGCACAATTTACAATAGCTAGGATTTGGAAACAGCCTACGTTCCCTTTCAGCAGATAATTGGATCAAAAAACAATGGTACATGTACACAATGGAATACTATGCTGCCATAAAAAAGAAGAAATTCTTATCATTCGCAGCAACCTGGATGGAATTGGAGAACATCATGCTGAGTGAAATGAGCCAGTCAATGAAAGAGAAACACCACATGATCTCACTCATTTATGGATAATAAAGAACATTATAAACTGATGAGCCAAAAGATAGATATAGAGACAGTAAAGCAACAAGCAGACTGTCAAATTACATCGGGGAGGGGAGGGAGATCTGGGGGAGATAAGAGATCAACCGAAGGACTTGTATACATGCATATAAGTATAACCAATGGACACAAAACTCTGGGGAGGGAGGGCATGAATGGGAAGGGGGGGCAATGGTAAGATATGTACACATATAATAATTTAATAATAATAAAAAAAGATTAAAAAAATGCCATGTAGGCAAGTTAAATGGTAACATAATAGGAATCATTACCCTAGAACCTTCCCAATTTTTGATGATAGCACTAATCTCTGATATTCCCTCCAGAGAATTTCAAAATATAATAAAAAGCAATTAGTTAGAAATGATTATGTGTAATATAATATTTAAATATATGCATGTTTATGTAATATGCATATAAATGTTTATTATTCTGTTGAAATGATTATTACTTGGTATGATTATGGATATTATATAATTTTTACTTTTGATTTTTTAATATTTCTATTAACTTGCAGAGAAAATATATTTCTTTACGGTCAGGAAAAACAATCTAATCTGTTTCTGTATGGATTGCTGTTAAAGTCAGAATACAAAATTTATCTAGATCCTGAGAAGAGTGCATACAAGTGCTAACCTCAGCAGATATAAATATTTGAGTCATAAATCACTGTAACAATTTCATAAGTTCAATTAGTATATTATTCTTATTTAATTATCTAATTAAATATTTGAACACACATCCACTCTTTTTAAAATATATATATTTTTATTGATTTCAGAGAGGAAGGGAGAGGGAGAGAGAGATAGAAACATCAATGATGAGAAGAATCATTGATCATGCCCCCTACTGGGGAATCAAGCCCGCAATCCAGGCATATGTCCTTGACTGGAATCAAACCTGTGACCTTTCAGTCCACAGGCCGATGCTCCATCCACTGAGCCAAGCTGGCTAGGGTCAGTCTTATTCTCACATATTTGCAAAGAGCATTCTATTGAATATAAGTTCTGACATCGAAATTTAAAAATATAATGAAACATTTTTAAATGCCTCTCAAATGAAATACATGACACTAAGTTAACTAGACAGTTCAGTAAAGCTATGTTCAGTCACTGTACTGTAAATGCAGATGGTTTATTACTGTCTTTCTGTAGTGAAGCATAGTTTGTGCAAATATTCAGTCACTGCTGCAGACACCCCTCTTTGTGCTACAGCTATTTAGAGTTAATTGGAGAAAGGAAAAAAAAGAGCATGAATGTTTGTTTTTCTTCTTTGTAATTTCCTTTACTTCTAAGACTTTAAAGTTCTGTCATGGAAATTGTAGCTTATTCCCAGTGGTTTTATTGCTGGTTTAGCACAATGAACATAGAGCCAAAAGTATAATATAAAGACTATCAATATGTGCTTTCTTCAAGAATGCCTTTCTGGCCCTGGCCAGTGTGGCTCAATTGGTTGAGTGTCATCTAGTGACTGAAGGGTTGCAGGTTTATTTATTATTTATTTATTTATTTTTAATATATTTTATTGATTTTGTACAGAGAAGAAGGGAGAGAGATAGAGAGTTAGAAACATCAATGAGAGAGAGTCATCGATCAGCTGCCTCTTGCACACCCCCTACTGGGGATGTGCCTGTAACCAAGGTTCATGCCCTTGACCGGAATTGAACCCGGGACCTTTCAGTCCCCAAGCCGATGCTCTATCCATTGAGCCAAACCGGTTTCGGCGGGTTGCAGGTTTAGTTCAGGTCAAGAGACATGCCCTGGTTGTGGGTTCAGTTTCTGGTCAGGGTTAAGGTATGTGCAGGATGTAACTAATATCTCTCTTTCTCTTAAAAAAAAAAAAAAATGTGCCTTCCTAGGCTTTTCTCACTTGGGTATGTTGGCTGGATATATAGTGGGAATGAAAGTGAGGTATTGTCAGAGAAAGTAAGTTCAGGGAAAGATTTTGACCACCTGAAGATGACAGGGCCTTAGACACTTAGACAAGTTACCTGAAGGGAGGAAACCCTTCCACAACCCCTTAATTTTGAGCGAGAAAGTATTGGGCTTAGACAACCTTGGTTTTAGTCAAACTTTGGTAATAAGTAAATGTGTAACTTTGAGTTGTCACTTAGCTTCTTTTTGTATCAGCTTCTCTATGTTCAAATGATTTGATGAAGGTCATGCTCTCTAGGGCATTTTAGCACCCCAATTTTCTGATACCCCTCTTCTGAATTCCAACTTGGTTTACCCTGACACTA